TTTAACAGTTAATTTGATATAATGCTTTTTTGGTTGTTTGCCTGGTTTTTTTCAATAAAATCATTATCTATTTAAATTAATTAATTGAAATTTTAATTTATCAGACCAAATAATTTTGGTTCAATTATTAATTGACTAACCCTTATATTTTTTTAATAAAATCCAGTTGTAATTTCTGCAAGTAATAGTTTTTTTCTTTTTAAATCTAGCTATAAATCCATGTTTTTTTAATATTTGACATATTGTACTATTAAATACTTTAACATCATCATTAATTAATAATTTTTTGAACAGAAATTAATGTTGAACATTTATTGCAAATAATTTTTCTAATATACTCATATTTATCTCAATCAAATAACTTTTATAAATAGCTTGAACCATTTTTTAATACTATTTGTTTTCTCAACCTTTTTATTAGTCTAAATATAATAGTATAATACATATCATCTAGATGCTTTTTGATATTTTATAATAAATATTTTTTATCTAATAATACAATTGCTTTTACTTTTTGCTTAATAGATAATTTGCAACATATTGAATCAAAACTTTTTTATATAAATAGTAAGCTTAAAAAAATTTTTTTATTAAAAAATAAAAAATATGACTTTATATAAAAGATTGTCAAAAAAATATACTTGTTTTTCAAATAAATAATAAATATTAATTTATTTTTCAATAATTAATAGTAAAAAGCTTATATAATTTATTAGATTTATATGATTAACAATATAAATAAAATCTTAAAATTATTTGACTTTTGCTTGCAATGATATATATTATTTAGATTCAATTAAATTAATGATATATTTTTTTGATATTTAATATATTTCTTCAACTTGTTTCTCTATAAAATCATTTTATATGTTTATACTATTGTATTTTAGAATTTATGTTTTAATTTTTATTTTATAGTATAATTTAACTATATATAGTACCATGTTATAGTATTGGTTTATATAACACAGAACATAGACAAAAATTATCAAACATACAGTATGTTATAAAACTTTTGGAATTTTTTATTTATCTGTTATTCAAAATTCATAGCATAAAAAATTAATAAATATCAAAATAAAGCTTAAAATTTAGAAATTATGATAATATAAATTTTATATAAAAATGTTTTTTAAAATTTTTTGAAATTAAATTTTTCAAGTATTAAAAATTGATTGCAAATAAAAAGTTTGTTAAAATTATTAAAATTTTATAAATTTTAATTCAATAATTTTAAAAATTTGTTAATTTAATCTATAGATTTTTTACTTTTTTTAAAAAAAATTTATATAATTTGTAAATTTTAAAATTTTAAAATTTTAAAATACTGTAAATATATTTATTATATGTATTTTTTGTATATTCCTTTATTTAGTTTATATACTATATACAATTTGGTGCAAAAGTCTTTAGGCTAATTTTAGGTTTTAATTTTATTGATAAATTAAAAATTAATTAATAAAATATAATAAAAATTTGAATCTATATATTTAAAAACCTAAAGAATAATATTACTGAATAGAATTTTTTAAATATATTATAGTAATATAATCAAATTTTGATTTAAAGTTAAAAGTATATTTTAAAGCTATATTTAAAATTCCATTGTATATTATGAATTAGAAAAAATTGATAAAATTATTTTAATACATAGATTTGTTAAACAAAAGCAATAAATATAGTCGATTCGAATTAACTGTGAATTAAGTACTTTTGATTTTACATTGTTACATTGACAATTGAGCTTTTATTTAAACTTCCAGTAGGATAGAAAAAGAATAGTAGTGAATATCTTCTATTGTATGAAGAACCGTAGTAATATCTTCTATTGTATGAAGAACCGTAGTGGATTGTTATCTACAAGGTTGAGACTTACAGTATATAGCATATAATTCAGACGTCTACTTTTTTTCGTATCTGCGACCCGGTTGTCCGCGATCTATTCAAGATCAAATCCACAGATAATCTCAGAACTTGATGTAAACTTTTAGTTTTTGCATGTGGTGCAACTGCGTATTCGTGATTACAGTAATAATCATTTGTTAGTTCATCAAACTACACTCTCGTATTCGCTATGACAATTTCGATGGAATCATTGATATTTTATATAGTAGAATAAGTATTAAGGCTACACTAATCTACGGACCAAACTACATACCAGCTTTTACTCTTCAGCATCTCGGTGGAGCCACTAGGATAAAAATAATTTAAAATCTTATTGTATCGCAATAAAAATCACCTTTCTTCAAGTGTCGAAACTCATGAAATTTTAGATATTCAAATTTTATGCAAGTCAGATTTAAAGAAGAAGTTAGAGGAAGGAGAACGTGAAATACAAAATATATTATTTAACCATATGTTTGGATGACTTTAAAGTCGGATTGATAAGATGGATTGAAAAGTGACATGTATACGATGAGATCTCCTCCAAATTATGTTGCATTCAATAACCATTAATAATTTGCTTTTATGCATACATCATACACAATAAAGCTTTCGAACTATAATAACATATTCCATCTATAAACTATTCTGTTCGTACTGCTATAAATACACTATTTTGCGAAGGGGAGAGATCTAACATTATCTACAAAACCTCATCATTTATAGAAATTCCTATGCATATCTATTAATAACTATTCCTGATTGTCGTCGCCATGTCTAGAGTTCAAGCTTTCATTCTCGTTATAAATCGAATTCCATCCATTCTTACTATTCTCATATGAATCGTAATATATCGAGCAAATTGCAGGAAGAATCGGTGGATATGGTGCGCTTTGATCAACGATAACATCTCTGATTTTGCAAATTTTTGATGATTAATTTAGAGTGATTTCGTGATGTAATGCTTTTCCCAAGTTACTTACCTTCTATCCAACCACGGGTCAACTTTGCTCACTTCCCCATATTCTATCGTATGATTCATAGAGAAAAAATCTAACCCGTCTAACGAATTTCTTCTGAAGTATGCTACTTTATAAAACTTCTCTTCATTTGCTCTTGAACATTTACGGCTAATATATCCATCAGACAACCAGAACCAACCGATTCTGTAATCGCAAGTCCTGAGATCCAATGGCTTTAGACTTTCATTATTCTTTTCCGTAAAAGAGATCAAGACATCGTCTAACCAAAATTCTTCGTAGTTTGAGAAAACGGTTGACACCATTGTAACATTCCCGTCGGGCTTGTATCGAAACTCTTGAATTTGGTATATGCCCTTACTCCATAATTTTGAAACAATTTTTGCTATCATCATCACTCCATGATCATCATTCATTTCTTTATTCGAGAGGACATCTTGGAATTCTACAGGAAGTGTTTCTACCAGATATTCAGTAGACCATCGATTTTTCAATCGAAATGAATACCCAAGAGGAATCTGAGAGATATCAGTTGGCAGGTCAAAATCTGCATTATTATTTGACGATATCACGCCCGTAATTATAATGACAACTATTGAACATAATAGGAAACAACATGGATTATAATATCTGGTTTGATAATTTGCCCGCTCCGTGCTGATAAGAGGTGTTCTTTCATTATATGGCATTTTTCTTTGGATTTCGAAAATTCGCGTTAAAGGTTGAGGAGATCGTAAAAAGCAGTCATCTGATAATCATGAGGGCAAAAAGTGAGATGATCTTCTCAAATTGGTATTTGAAAGTTTCACAGAAACCGTTATTAAAGACGACGCCAAATTTCCTCATACATTATTTGTTAGCGTTCACTTGTCTTCAAATAAGCCTTAGTTCCCTTAATTTAATTTAGAAAATTTTCATTCTTGTAAATCATCGTATGTTATACTAATGACACTATAATCAGTCGCATTTACCAGTAATTTAATAAAATATGATTTTTTTCAATAGAGTCGATTTTAATTATTAATAAAAGTATAATTTTTCCTTCATAATTATCTTCACGATAATTGTTATACTGTAATTTGTCCAAAATAAAGCGAAAGGCATTAAATTAAATATAATACTTAAGTTATGTTCTTAACTACAGTATAGAAAGCATATCATAATTTTACTTTATTACCTGTACATCGGAAATTCTTATTTGAATATGCTAATATATTGCACAGTATATAGTCAAATAATTATCAGGTTTTATACAATTTAAATTTTCTGATATACGTAATAATTATTGATAATACTTTATCGCTTATTTTAATTTATATATAAATTAAATTTTATCCATAAAATCTAATAAATATTTTTAAAAATAATTTTTATTTTTCATTATAATTATTCGTTTTATAATTTTTTATACTGTATATTTAAAACAAACAATTAAGTTAAATGATAGTTTATTATTTTATATATATTCTCAATTAATTGTTAATTTTTGTTTATTGATTTTTTTATTATTTAGTATTGATTTTTTTTTAAAATTAATATATATCTAAATTTTATTATATAGTAATTTATCAAAATTTATAAAAATATAAAAATATAAATGCTTATAAAATCAATTTATAGCTAATAACTTGTTATAAGTTAAATTTATTAAAAAAAAAAAGAAGATAAATATAAATACAAAATTAATTTTAAATATATAAAATATGTTGTAAAACTTGTTAAATTTTTTCTTTATGTATAACCTAATAAATAATTATTTAAATTTAAAAATTTATAAATATATTTTTTAAAAGTTAAAAATAAGATTATTAAAATTATTTACATAAGTTTTATATTATTGTTATTATTATATTAATTTTTTTTATTTAAAGTCTAAAAAATTATTTATAAAACTTAATCATAAATTTTTTATTATATTTTTACTATATAACATCAGTATAAAAATAAAGAATTTTTTTGTTTTTATATTTTTATTTATATTTTTTTATAATCTAAAAAATAAATAAGCTCAATATTTTAATTAATTTCTAATCATTGGGTTATTTTATTTAATTAAAATTTAAAGAAATAATTTATTTAACAACATAATTAAAAATCAAACTCTTATTTTAATCTCTCTTATTTTTCTACATATAATTTTTATATTCCCGCATATCACTATTTCATCACCACTCTATTTTTTAACAACCTGAAATACTTCATAATCGGCTATTGTAAAATATCCTTTGACTTTAATAGGTTCATAAGATAAACTCTCGGTGCAATAACCCTGTTTGTTGTCACACATAATCCACAAAGCTCCATAAATCCCAAACTGCGGACCGTGATTATAATGGCCGAAAATAGCACAATCATTTTTTACCCGACTAAGTTTTGTGTGAGATTCGTTACTAGTTTTTAATGAAAAAATAAAACTTTCTATTGAACTTAGCCAAACGCCTCTATTTTCACTATCCCATTCCAAGGGATTGTATCCTCCAAGGATTTCCCCAGTTTCTTGAGTCTTTAGAACGATCACTGTACGTGCGTGACCATTACTCATCTTCCAAAAAGTTTGCGAATCAAATCCATCACGACTTCCTCTTAATATTAATTGAAATTCATATGGAATATTTGTTGGTGAATATATAGTTGATTTATGATCTATCCATGATAAAATTTCCGCCTTATGTTCTTCATTAATAATAGTTGAAAATGATTCTTCTCTCTTTGGCAGTTTTTGAGTGACTACTGATCTTGCAGGCAAAATATTTGTCTCGATTTGTTCTTCAGGAATAAAAAAATGTTTAGTGATGTCACTCCAAACTTGTTCTCCTAAAATTCTTTTATAAGGTTGTAACTTATAGAAAGCATCCTTGCCGGATATTTGAAAATAGCGGATATATGGTAAACATTGTTGAAGAGTCACTTTTAGATTTTCAAAATCTTTATCTGACCATTCTTCGATTCTTAAGGGTAAGGAAGTATTTTGCGCAACTCCCCACTGAATGACCTTATCCCAAATCTTTATTTCTTCCATCTGTAAATCATCCCTCTTAATAAGAGAAACTAAAGCTGATTCATTAAGAGATGAAAAGTCCTCTGAATCAAATATAAGATTAGGGTATTTTACTACAATATCATTGCAAAATTTTTCTAGGTCCTTAAGACGATTGTTTTTATTAAAGACTGAATGGAAAACAAGAGAAAAATGAGTACGTAACCAGGGTGCGTTGTTTTCTATGAAGTAAACCTCTAGCTTTTTAGATAAATCTTCAAATTCAAGCTCTTTTGCAGACATCATCAAATCAAAAATAATTTTTTTTTCTACGTTTCTCAAATTGATGATTCCACTATATGTATATCTATAAAAAAAAACCAATAATTAGTTTAGTTTATTAATACATTAGGGCATTTAAAAATAATATTCAATATATACTTCAGAATCATTTCAAAAATTTCAGCGGAAACGTTTGTTTTTAAAACAATATTCTTTATACTATCCTTATTTGCATTGGGTTTAGCTAGTTCTTTGCGAAAATAAGTGGACCTATAGTGTAATATTGCCGAATGTGCAGTAAAAGATTTTTCGCCAACTTCAATTATGACATTGTACTCATATTTATCATTTAATAATTCGGTAAAGTCATTTGACAAATTGTCTAGAAATTTTAGAATCATTTTTTGTTTGCTATGCAAAGTACGTACTGTATGAAGAGAATTTATTGACAAAAAAAAATTATTAACGTAATATATAACATAAAATTGTTGATTTGTTAGGTAACACCAGTCTATTTTCGAAAAAAAATTGCATAAATAGTACTGTACTTACTGTATATGCAACAAATAATTTTATGGCGAGATCTAAAGTTTTGAATGGATTAATCTGAAAACTTTAAAAACCTTTATAAATTTTTCCATCATAAAATGTTACAAGAAGATGTGGCACGTTACTATGTCTGTTCTTTATATTTAAGATTTATGACAAATTATTTTTATATACTTCTTTTCGTTCCCTCTTTGTGAGGTGACATGCTACACGCGCCATAAAAACCCAAATGTTTTTAAGCTAAGTACATGAATAATCGTGTTAATATTATCAATATTTCTGATGTAATACATATAGTTTGTTACATACAACAGGGAATTTGTTCTGAATTAAGATTGGTTACAGAGAGTTGGTTATGATTTAATAATGATCAGTGTTTATAAAGTTTTATTAACAAAAGTATTTTCTATATTACTGTATCATAAATTCTTAAGTAAAATACAATATACTGTATTATTTCCATTAATTTTTATATATTGCACATATATTATTCCTATCAATTTTAATATTCTATAGTTTATTAATTAGTTTATCAATAAATAAATTAATTAATTAAACTTTTTAAAAAACGTGTACAGCTAAATCTCATTAAATTCAATATTATTAAACTACTATACTGTATTAATTGGAGTTTTATGGAATCAAAATTTGTTCAAAAAAATTAATCTATTATAAATAATCTTATTAAACTAAATTTATTAAATAAACTTTTCTAAATTAAAATTTTCAATATTTTTCGATTAATAATTCTAATTATTTTAGTTTAATAAAGTTTGATTGTATATTTATTTTATAAGATAAATTTTAATATAACATATATATATATAATTTTTAAAAATGTGATTTAAATAAATTTATATACTGTATTTGCTATATTAAATTTTTAATTTTAAACTTAACAACAATTCTTATTTTCTAATTATAATAAATATTTTAATACTTATAATTTATTGATAATGGATATTTAAATTATAACCTTTTATTATAATAATTTAAATTATTATATTTATGATTTTTCAAAATTAAATTTTAATATTTAGAATTAAATTATTATTTGTCTTAATTGATAAACAATCTGGTATATGAAAAATAACTAACTTGTTTTAATAAAAATAATAAATTTGCTTTTTTAAAAAATTTAAATATATACAAAAGTTAAAAAAATTTTAATATAATAAGTTATTTATTAATATTCTAAAAAATTATTAAATAATAATATTATTGTTATTAAAAATATACTTATTTAAAAAAAAACCAATTTCTTTGTAATATTATGTAACAAATCTATAGATGTCCAGCAAAAATCTTGATTTTCTTCGAAAGGTCAGATGATAACCTCTCAAATGATTTTAAGAGACTATGGGTATTTTGATGAGAGGAACATCTTTTATTAATGACTAAAATATGTTATCAACACCGATTTCTCAATAATCAAAGATTTAGACTTCTGGCCAAAGAACATTAATGATTAAACTAAAACACATATCTGAAGTTACATGACATCTGCC